GGAGCGTCTTGGGGGCCTCTTGGCGGTCCTGGGCGCCTCTTGGAACGTTTTGGATGCCTCGGAGAGCCTCTTGGGGGTCTCTCTGGAGCCTCTTGGAAGCCTCTTGGGCGCCTGTAGGCGCCTCATGGGCGCCTCTTGGGGCCCTCTTGAAGCGTTCTTGGCCGCCTCGGGAGCGTTTTTGGAACCCTCTTGGGCAATGTTCGAGCCATCTTGGAGCCTCTGATGGTCATCGGAAGCGAAAAGGCGAGAAAACAAAAACATTGATTGTCCGAAGGTTGTGGAAGGATGTGGGCCTCCTCGGGCCCTCCTGGGGGGGCTTTCTGGCAACTTGGAGCCGTATTGGAGCGGTCTTGGGGCCCCTTGGAGCATCGTGGGGGCCATCTTGAGGCATTTCTGGATAGCTTGAGCCATCTTGGAGGTCATCTTGGGTTCCCCCAGGCGCTTCTGGAGTCATCTTAAGCATCCCCCCCCACCCAGGATGCCAAAATGTGGCCAACTCTGGGCAATCAATGATTTTGGCATTGTCGCCGAGCCTCTAGGAGCGTGTTGGGTGTCTCTGGGGGGCCTTTTGGGGGTCTCTTGAGGGTCTCTTGGGGGCCTCTTGGGGGCCTGTTGGGGGCCTCTTGGGGGCCTCTTGGGTCTTCCTGGCCTCCTCTTGGGGCCCTCTTGGGTCACCCCTGGGAGCCTCGGGAGCGCTCTTGGCGCCATCCCGGAGGAGATCGATCAAATAAGGGGGGTCCCAATTAGCGCTACCCTTGCTAGAGGTCAAAATGGGGCCAACACCTGAGTAAAACCAATGATGTTGGTTTCCTCGCCGACCGCCCAGGTCCAAAAGAGAGGGTCGGGGGAGAGGTAAACCCTTCCCCGAAGGGGAAGAAGGGGGTGGAAGAGGAACCGCCTTGAACCACCTACGCCCAGGGGGCTGGTGGAATCAGCGCCCCCCCTCGGGAGCCCCACACATCGCCTCCTGGACATCTCTTGGAGAGATCTTGGAGCGCTCTTGGGGCCGTCTTGGAGCTCTCTGGAGCCTCTCTCGGGGCTTTCGTGGGCCATCTTGAGGCCATCTCGAGGCCTCGGAAAGCAATCGGAAGCGAAAAGGCGACAGGACAAACACATAGGTTTCCACTTTGTTTTGGAAGGAGTTTGGCCTCTTGGGGGCCTCCTTGGAGGTCTCGGAGGCCTCTTGGAACCGTCTTGGAGCGTTCTCCGGGCTTCTTGGGGCATCTTGGGAGCCATCTTGAGGCATCTTGGGCTATCTTCAGCCATTCGGGAGGTCATCTTGCAGTCCCCGAGGCCCTCTTAGAGCCGTCTTGGGTCATCTCGGACGCTCTGACCGCTCGCGAACCCCCTTGTCCAGGTCCAGGGTAGGGGGCAGGTGGGAGGGGTAAACCCCTCCCCCAAGGGGAAAAAGGGGGTTGGAAGAGGAAGCGCCCTAAGCCACCTACGCCCTGAAGGGCTGGTGGGATGAATCATCGATCCTCCGGAAAATATGGAAACATATTGACAGTGGGGGGAGACAACAACGCAGAAACTACGTGAACATATTGATAATTCTCGGATGTGTGTCTATTAGTTGTTGAGGAGGAGGAGGAGGAGGAGGAGGAGGAGGAGGAGGAAGAGGAGGAGGAGGAGGAGAAGGAGGAAGAGGGGGAGGAGGAGGAGGAGGAGGAGGAGGAGAGGAGGGAGGAGGAGGAGAAGGAAGAGGAGGAGGAGGAGGAGGAGGAGGAGAGAGTGGAGAGAGAGGAAAGGTGGAGGAGGAGAGGGGAAGGAGAGGAGAGGGAGGAGGAGAGGAGGAGGAGGAGGAGCATCAAGAGGGGGAGGGGGAGGAGGAGAGGGAGGAGAGGAGGAGGGGAGGAGGAAGGAGGGGAGGAGGAGGGTAGTGGAGAGGAGGAGGAGGAGGAGGAGGAAGAAGAGGAGGTGGAGGAGGAGGTGTAGGAGGAGGAGGAGGAGGAGGAGGAGGAGGAGGAGGAGGGGGAGCATAAGAGAGGAGCGGCCGCGGGAGGATGTGAAGGAGCACAAACGCTCATGCAGCGAGGGCGCCCGGGGACGGGCCCCCCGTCCCCCAACTCCCCCCTCCTACATTCTCAACCAAGCTTAGGCCGGGCATGTCCTCCTACAGGCGGATTGGGACGAACAAGTAGAAACAGTCAAAACAGATTCAACAATAGGCAAGAGTAGTCGAAAGATCCTCCCCTCAGACCATGTTCGAGTATCCCCCCCATGTAGAGGGGGAGCCCCGACGAAAAAACAGCCCCCTCTTCTCCCCTCTCGTGTCCCTCTTGCGCCCCCTCCCTCGCAGACCCTCTCTGCCCCCCTCATGCTTCCCCTCCTCGGAGGAGAGCAGACGGCATAGACATAGACTGTTGGCGCTCCGCGCGGACTTCCTGGACCCGCGCGGCGGCGACGCCGCCCCGGGCGCGCTCCGCGCGCCAGAGAGGGGGGGTCCAGCGCAGATCCAAGAAGTCCGCGCGGAGCGCCACAAGTTTCTATCCATGCCGTTGGTTTCTTCGTCGATACCCCCCTCCTCCTCCCCCCCCCATCACCTGCCCCTCCCAGCTCTCCCTCTTCTTTCAGGAGGGAGAGAAACGCACAGGCACAACTCATCGTCGATTCCCCCGAAAAGATGGGGAAGCTATGGGAAATGGAGGGGGTGACGGAAACCCAGAAACTATGGGACAATATATGGAGGGTTCTGCGATGTGTGTGTGTGTGTGTTTGTGTGTTTGTGTGTTTGTGTGTTTGTGTGTTTGTGTGTTTGTGTGTTTGTGTGTTTATGTGTTTATGTGTTTGTGTGTGTGTGTGTGTGCGTTTGTTTGTGTGTTTGTGGGCCCCTTCATTCTTGCCCTCCCCCCCTCCCTGGGGTACGTTTGGGGTATGTTTTATTTTTCGTCGAAAATCCCCCTGTAGGGGGACACGATCCAAGAAGTCCGCGCGGAGCGCCACAAGATTCTATCCATGCTGCTTGTTTCTTCGTATATACCCCCCTCCTCCTCCCCCCCACCACCTGCCCCTCCCAGCTCTCCCTCTTCTTTCAGGAGGGAGAGAAACGCACAGACACAATGAATCGTCGATTCCCCAGAAAATGTGGGAACATATTGGAACATATGGGAAGTGGGAGGGAGACAGAAACCCTGAAACTATGGGACAATATATATGGAGGGTTCTGCGATGTGTGTGTGTATTTGTTTGTGTGCTTGTGGGCCCCTTCATTCTTGCCCTCCCCCCCTCCCTGGGGTACGTTTGGGGTATGTTTTATGTTTCGTCGAACATCCCCCTTGTAGGGGGACACGATCCAAGAAGTCCGCGCGGAGCGCCACAAGTTTCTATTCATGCCGTTTGTTTCTTCGTATAGCCGTTTGTTTCTTCGTATATACCCCCCTCCTCCTCCCCCCCACCTGCCCCTCCCAGCTCTCCCTCTTCTTTCAGGAGGGAAGGAAACGCACAGACACAATTCATCGTCGATTCCCCCGAAAAGATGGGAAACTATGGGAAGTGGGGGGGGGGAAGACAGAAACCCCTGAGACTATGGGAAAACATATGGGGGGATGTCTGCGGTGTGTGTGTGTGTGTGTGTGTGTCTGTGTGTGTGTGTCTGTGTGTGTGTGTGTCTGTGTGTGTCTGTGTCTGTGTGTATGTGTGTGTATCTGTGTATTTGCTTGTGTGCTTGTGGGCCCCTTCGTTCTTGCCCTCCCCCCTCCACGTCTATACCCCCCTCCTCCTCCTCCCCCGTTTGTTTCTTCGTCTATACCCCCCTCCTCCTCCCCCCCCCTCCCCTCCCTCCCCTCCCTGCTCCTTGCCCCCCCCTCCCTGCTCCTTGCCCTCCCCCCCCTCCCTGCTCCTCGCCCTCCCCCCCCTCCCTGCTCCTCGCCGCTCCCCCCGCGGCGGCCTCGGCGGCTGCCCCCCCGCGGACCTCCCCGTCGGGGGGGGGGGCGGCGGGGGCGAGCAGGCCCGGGGCGGGCGCTGCGCGCCGGCAATCGCCGAGGGGCCTCGCCGCAGGCATGGAGGAGGAGGAGGGGGAGGAGGAGGACGAGGACGAGGAGGAGGAGGAGGAGGAGGAGGAGGAGGAGGGGGAGGGGGAGGGGAAGGGGAAGAGGGAGGAGGAGGAGGAGGAGGAGGAGGAGGAGGAGGAGGAGGCTGGAGGAGGAGGAGGAGGGGGAGGAGGAGGAGGCTGGAGGAGGAGGACCAGCGGCGCCCCTGGCTGCATGCATGGGGGGAGGACTAGGGGGGGGGGGATATCATGGCGGGGGCCATGATATTTCCCCAGATCTCATGGCGCCTCTTCTTATTGTAGTGGCCTTCGGCCAGTGCCGCCGATCCAGGTCGCTCGGGGTTATTCTCAAGACGCAGACATTATGGGCGCACACTCAAACGCACACACGCAGTCACACCACCCAACCCGCGCCGCAGACATGGGGGCCTGTCAGGGCGTCCTGGGGGGCTTCTCGGAGACTTTTTCCCCAGATCTCATGGCGCCTCTTCGTATTTCATTACGTCCCTGGCCCCCCCGCTGGGCCGCGCACATGCCGCCGGTCATGATTTGCACCTCCCCCTCTTGGACACCCCCCTCTTGGCCGCTCCCGAGTTGAGTCGGGCGTGTCCCCCTGCAGGAGGAGTATCCAAGCACAGTCAAGACGCAGTCATAATATGGGTCGATGTCTGGAGTATTTCGGAACATTTCGTCTCTGTATCTCTTGGCTATGTGTGTTGGCTCTCGTCCAGAAGCCGCCCGTATGGGGGACACGCCCCACCTGCATGCTTTGCCCTCCTCGCTCCTCCTCCTCGCTCCTCCTCCTCCTCCTCCTCCTCCTCCTCCTCCTCCTCCTCGCTCCTCCTCCTCCTCCTCCTCCTCCTCCTCGCTCCTCCTCCTCCTCCTCCTCCTCCTCCTCCTCCTCCTCCTCCTCCTCCTCCTCCTCCTCCTCCTCCTCGCTCCTCCTGAATGCACTGCCCTCCCGTAGGCTGCTCGCCCCCCTCGTCGCCCCCCGGCCCTGCTCCGGGCGCAGGACGCCGCCGCGGCGGCCGACGGCTCCGCCGCCGGCGGGCAGGACACGAGCGACCTGGGCGAGGCGCGCCGACGGCCGCCCGCCGCTTGAGGGGGGAGGGGGAGGGGAGGGGGGGGGGGGAGAGGGGAGGGGAGGGGGGGGGAGGGGAGGGGGAGGGGGAGGAGGGGAGAGGAGATGGGGAGGGGGAGGGGGAGGGAGGGGGAGGGGGAGCAGGGGGATTTGCCGCTGCACTGCTCTGCCCCGACTCATCGCGGTCCTCCTGGCAGCCAGCCAGGCAGTCGTCGAGCACGACACTTTAAAGACGAGCACCGCACAGAAATTCATGCATGCGGAGCTGCCCGCAAAGACGGGCCACACGACAGGGCCATGCCCCCGTGGCCGCGGCCAGGAGACTCGCCCGTCGGGCGTCAACTAATCAGACAACCGGACCACACTGAGAGCATCCACGTCGAGCCAGATTTTATCGCTTTTCGGGTGCTTGCCAGCAAGGATTCGGTTCCAATAGTGTTTTGACGAGCGGGGATAATGCGGCTTAACATTGCAACGCTGGTTCAAATAGCGCACATACCCACCCGTCGAGAACGCCTTGCACTTCAGGCATATGCAAACCGCACTGCCATCAGAACAAGACAAAGCAATACATTTGTGACCCAGCTTGGTGTCATAGAGTTTGTGGGTAGTCGAGCACACAATATATGGGGCCAGCAGAACCTGGAGACCCTCAAACATTGCTTACACTGCCAAAACGTGTCCCTAAAAACCCAGGAGTGGCGAGCCTTGGGCACTGGAATCACTGGCTCCTGCTGTGCACGAGTGGCCTGCGACAAATCACAAGCCGGCCACAACTGGAGCAATCTGGCAGCGAGCACACAAACTTTACGTGAGATAGCAAGGGCTCGATCGAGCCACTCCGAGTGCCCAGGGCTCGGCTTCTCATGGGCCAAGGCACCCAGCTTAGCATAATGACCGGCGAGGTCGTTACCCGCCTTGCAAAAAGTTAAATGGTCGTCGCCAGAAACGTCATCCTCAGTCATGTGACCCTTGACCTTAAGAATGGGACCCATCTTAGAGTCCGCAGTCCACATGAACATTCCAGCGTGCACACGGTTCAAAGAGAGGTGTTCGGATTGGGGCAACGACCAGAGCTGCACGACGCTCTGGCAATCACTAAAGCCGACCGATGGTTCAAGTGCATTCTGACATGCTGCCGTACATGCAGCAAACTCACCTGCCTGCGCTGTCTGAGGGATGGGGAGAGCGAGAGGAGCGTAAACATGACCCAACTCTTGCCCATAATCGGAGACCGACACATATGACCAGCCCGTGCGTGAAAGCTCACGTATGACCGACCGAATGCAGGACCCGTCCATGAATATTTTACCTCTAACCTGATAGTCATCACGCTCAGGGTCATACGCATGATGAAGTATCGGCTCAGACCTAGTAGGTGCAGGAAAGAAATCCCCAGGATGAGACATGATGCCGTACGTGTACAATACTTGGTCGTGCACACTAAGATACTCCCAGGACGAGGGAGCGCGTTGAAAACTGTCGCCAAGTAGCTCTTGGCGAAGCTCACGAGACTTCTGACACATCCAAAGCCGATGGAACATCGTGTCCTGTTCCAAGCCGCACAAAGGACAGAACACGTCAGGGAGGATATATCCGTGCTCCACAGCATGGCACTTAGTCCAGGGGGCCTGACAAACCAGCCCACGGATACAGCCTTTTTCCCACTGGGTGAACTTTTTGGACGCCATGGCGCCAAGGGCACATCCAGGCACACTCTCCTGCTGAGACCAAGGCTGTCCCCGTACGCTCGTTCGCGAGAACGCATAACGACATGGCGGAAGAGTCGCTTCAGGAGGGCAGGCGAAACCAAGGTTAATGAAACTTCCACCCCCACGTCGACCAACATCGCGAACGACGGCACATGCCAACCAAGGCGCTCCACCGACAGCCTCATGGCCCCAAATGGGCCACCCACCTTCCTCCAGGTGGGGGCGGGCCCCGAGAAAACGGACTCCCAAGACTTCCGCAACTCGGCCAGGCTGAGGCCGAACCCGAAAGCGCCAGTAAGGCTGGCCCAGACTTCTTTAGATCACCGCACAACAGGGACCACCGCGCAGTACCACGTGGGGCCGGCGGCAAACAGCAAAGCTGCGGTGAGAGAACGCCCTCCAGCCGTGGGGCTCAAGAAGCGCCCGAGCGACCTGCGGGGGACAGCCAGCTCGTGGTCCGAGGTGCCGTGCACCTCGCAACCATAGGTCCGACTAGGCAGGGGACCACTGGTTAAAATGCGCTTGGCGTGTCGCCCCATGGATGAGCGATGCGCGCCAAGTCTGTGGACCTTCTTCTTGAAAACCTGTTTCGGAACCTGAACCTCCCCTCTTCTCCTCGCCGCCCTCCTTGGTTTCCCCGCAGCATCGTCGCTGCCGAGGTTGACGGCAGAAGCGCACGGAAGGCCACCGACAGCACCGAGGCCTCGGCGGATCCCTTTAGCAACAACAGGCTCCGAGGCGACCACCGCCGCCTTGCTAACAGAGATAGCACGACCCAGATCGGACTCGATGACAAGCTGCAACTTAACCGACCCCTCGAGGAGACCCTGGGCGACCGCTCTGGGACGACCAGTGCGCGAAAGGGTGTAGTCGTCAATATGCACTCGCAACGAAACCGATCTGGGAAGACTAAGGCCGCCTAAGGCCGCTAGCGTGAAGACGCGAATCAGCGTGGTCGCGAAACCACGCCCAGCTATGAGCCCATCGCCATGCAAACCGTGGGCCGTCAACACGGCCGTTCGTCGCCATATATCTGCAGGCGCGGTGAGCCGTGTAGCAGACGCGCGCGATCTGCATAGGAAAGTTATGCTGGCGGCAGCGGGCGAGGAGCAGGTCGAGGTCGACGGATTCGTAGAATTTGAGAAGACCCCAGAGCACCGACGACGAGCAGTCCTGGGGCGCGACCGCGACCTCACTCCTGACCCCTTGCCTCCAGACCGTATCCACGCTAGAGGCAAACGCACCAGCACAGAAATACTCACGGGCATTATCAGCTTCCCACCGACGGGCGTACGACCGACGAGCCCTGGCCCAAAGACGGTAGATCGAGACGAACAGGCCCATCGGGCGGCGCCCACCGTCGGGCTTGGAAAGCACGATAAGAAGCACGACCTTCATCTGGCCAGGGAGCAGGCCCGATCGTTCCCAGATCGAGATCGCAATCGATAAGGTGCCCAAGGCCTGATCCGATAAATGCTGGAAATGAGAGACGTGGAACCCATCAACCGACGAAGCCGCATGCCCGGGGAAGGGGCGAAACACTCGGCGGAGGTCCTCCACCGACAAGTCAGGGAGGGGTTCCAAAGCTTCAACAACAGCACCGCTCTGGGGAGCCTCAGGCCGGGGCCCCGCATGCCAGATGCGCGAGAATTTTTCGAGCCCGGAGGGCAGGAGGGCCCCGGGGGCCCGAGACGACTTCACCTTTGGCACTCAAGGCGGTAGTCGGCCTCCAACCCGAGGCCCCCCGAACAGCTCCGCGGGCGTGACGAGCCCCATTCTCGATGTTGTGACGGATCCAACCCAACCAATTCTTATGGTCTTCCTGCCTGGCCGCGCTCTCAGCCTCAGCCAGGGGGCTGAAAGTAACCGTATCCTGCACGGCCTGGAGGTGGGCGAGGGCGTCTCCACCCCACGAGCCGAGCCGAGATGGGGGGTGCAACAGCTCGCCCGCCGCGCCCTTCAGATGCTGCTGTCTGCGCACCTCAGGGCAAGGGGGGGCCGCAACGCCAAGGGAGCGTGCTCCCAGCACTGAGACCATGCGTTTCGACACTGCCACGAGCAAAACGCAGGGGGGGGAAGGCGCCAACTGCGGGTCCGAGGTTTGAATTCCCAGACCTAACAGCTGAAGCCAAAGACGGTACCTGCTGCAGAGCCATCTCAATCGCGAGGTCTCCCTCGACGTGCTGGAGGTCCCAGCCATCGAAGTGTGACACGCGTCGACGACGCTGACCCAGTGCAGCTGCGGCTGGCGGCCCCTGCTACTTCGGAACGGCAGGGTCTCCTGAAACACATACTCTAGCTCTTGTTCAGCGGCCATGCCCCATTCACGATACAAAACATCGAGGTTGAACTGAGTCTGGTCGGACGATCCATTCTCGGCCACAGCAAGAGCACGAGAAGCCAACTTGGAAAGGAACCCCCTCTGTCGAGGGGGCTCAGGAAGAGGACCAGGGGGGTGGTTCTTTGGAGGGGGGGGGGGGTCCTGAAGGTGAGGGCGCGGAGGGAGGCGAGTTGCGGGTGAAGTTTCACGGCGACAGGATCATGGGCAGCCAAGTCCGAATCGCCGATTATCCGCACGCTCTCAATCGCTTGCGCCACTCGCGCCTCGACCAACATAGAATCGTACATGTTGGTTCCCCCTGTGGACCGACAGGTGCCCATCGCACCCGCAGGACAGCAAACATCAGCCCCAAGCCTTGCAGGAACAAAAGAGGGGCACAAAACAGACGGCTCCATGTTGAAATCACCTCCGATGACATATGGGACGCCCAAGCTTTTCGCCCGAGACGCCGCGCGCGCCAGAATATCCCTGTTGGTTTCATTCAAACCGACGCAATCCTGGAGATAAACACTAACAACGTAAAAGCTGGCCTGGCCAGGGAGGTGAACCAGGGCCCCGTCAGCCCGATGATTTCCCAAGCAGGGGCCAAAATCGGGGTAGTGCAATCCCAGGAAGGTTCGAGCCAGGATCCCGACCCCCGAAGACGGGCCTCCTCCAGGCCCCTGGCATCCTGGCTCAAAGTGCGCTATGAGGGTTACATATGTCTGCAGACGGAATTCGGGAGACTCGCAGGACACTGGCTACAGGAAAAAAGCTCATGATTTACATTTCCTGAGCACTCCTAGCCACTTCGAAAACGGGGATCACAGCAGGCTTCGAAAGTGGCGACAGTTTCACAGATCGCAGCCCCGCAGGGATGGCGGGGTCTAATTTGGGTCCGCGCGTTGCGCCACTGTGCTGGACCCCCCAGCAGGCCTCGAAAGTGGCGACAGCTTCACAGATCG